TACTTACTTTATAAAATTATTCCACTTTTATGTACAACAATAAATAATAAGAAAATAATTGTCCTATTAAGAATTAATCTCGTATCGCGAGAAATAGTGTAACGAGTTTCGATGTACTCGTTCTTAAATAAAACTGCTACGATAATTGCAAAATAATTAACGTTCCGATCTAAAGCCTTAATAGGTTGCGACAAGTTATTCGCGGGTAACAAGAAATTTTCTTCAATTATATCGTGATAATAATTGTTCATCTGAGCGACATTTCCCTGTGGACGATCGGCTGCCACCTCGTTCGCTAATATTTCACGTCAATTAATTGAAAGTAATTTAACATTAAAATATTTAAATAGCACCGATCGACTAAAATCACGCAGGGTACATCATCATGATACACAGGAAGAGCATGAATCTGACAAGAATTAATGAGAGAATTCTTCATAGCGAATATGAAATTGACTCCTCTTTAACAAAAATTTAACGGAAAGCCATTATTACCTACTACATCACTTTTCAAAATTTTTTTCAAAAAAGTAATTACTACTTAAATCAAATTAATCAAAGTCGACTTATAAAATTTAAATGAAACATGAATTTCATTAATATTCTTTCTTCAATTTCTTTAGAAGATATTAACTTTTTGTTCGACATTTAAAAAAATCACTAATGCTCAATTTTCCTAATACATAAAATTATTAATTATGCATATAAGAAAGAAAATTAATACAAAATTCACCTTTGCGGAACAAATCTTGCTCAGCAAAAAATCAAATAACTAATAGCTAGCTAATTATTTTAAATATTCGATATAAATAAATCCTATGTATCAAATTTATTTAGCGTGTTATGGTTTCATACATAATAACTTTTAAAAATCATAATTTCAAAAATTCTACATTATAAAAGTAGAATTATCAGAAATACATATATAAATATGTATTATATTTTATAAAGATCTACAAGTTAAAATAATAAACATGTTTCCGTACCAATATTAATTTTACGGATACAACAAGTAAACCAATCAATACATCTTTTATAAAATTTTTTTCATATCGCAAATTTGATTATTGTGTTAAAACAAATAAATTGTACCTTGTCGAATTTTATATTTTGGGTCTTATTTTTCTCTAATTCTTTTAATATTACGCTTTTAAAAATTAAAAAAAATTTTTTTTCTTTATAATTAAAGGTTATATGAAAAGATACATTTTTTCTCTGAATATAATGATTATAAGAAGCAAAACATTAATAATGATACAATTATTCAAGTAATATTTTAATATTCATTAATTATTCAATATGCATTTGACACAGAATGCATATCACTATGACATTAGGGCGAGCAATCAACATTTCAAATTTCTCAGAAGTGAAAGGATTATACGGTAATATCTATCTTCACAACTTAAATTGTAACTATGAAGTTCAAAGAATAATAATGATAATAATAATATATAATCTCCCTATCTGAATTTAAATGTAATACGTTGTAATAAACATATATAACATTGCGATAACCTATTGATTATTAAAGTTATTTAATATGATGATGGAGAAAAGTCAAAGCGAGTTTCGCAACAAAGTTTCCACGAAAAATTGATTCTACAAACAGCAAGAAGAAAAATTATATTTACAAACGAAACGGAGTAATATCTTTATATAATTCCATTGAATTTTAAAATCAAGTTGCTTTTGTGCTATGCTGAGAAATTGCAATAGACATTACGCTGATACATCATACTGAAATGTCATAAACATCATGGAAAATTTATTTCAATTTCATTGCATCATACTCTTTCCTTTGCTTTATATAAAAATATTCTAATTATTTATAGCAATCTATCTATCGTGTAGTATCGCGTTACTCCATATGTGAATGCAGCATAAAATGCATACATTTGCACTATATATAACTTTTAAGCCATTGCACGTATCCACAATAACAACCCTACTATGGTTTCGTTATCTGGTTCAATCATCGATTAACTCTAATCTATTGTAGTGTCACAAGAAACCTTTGTGTTCGAACGCGAACAAACATACGTGAATAATCATATCTCACTCGTAAATATTTTTCAAACGTATGCTATATTTACGACGAAATATTAATTAGCCTTTGAATTTTGTGATTGCATGCGCCATTAATCGTTTCTTAAATTTTGCAAATGCAATTGCCTATTGTATCTCCCGATCCCTGCGATTATTTCATATATTTACTGTACATACTGTACTTTCTGCTCTATAAAATCCTCCCAATATTTGCACGTATTATATTTACCCTGCTGCATTTTAATCGAATTCTACACGCATTACATTTATATGTCTCGTGATAAATCACCTGCGCCGAATCTTGTACATATATATTGTACATGCGCACAGTGCTATATTTATATTCACGCCTATATCGAATTTCATATTCATTATAATCACGTCGCGTAATTTTGGCGAATTTCGCTCATCATGTCTACACCACGCTACAAATTGTTCTCCCCCGCTTCTCCCCTCGAGAATTTTGTAAATTTAATATCAATAATGGTCCTATTAATCGACCATTGGTCGCCAGGACGTATCATACTCACGAACCGGTTCATTAATTATCAGCGAAATATTTTGCCGGTGTCACGTTTACCACGCGTCATTACCCGAGAATTCGTCTCCCTCGAAACGAGAGCGCCGTGCGTTTCAGAAGAATGTCAAATCTCATCCCGATCTCTGTTGGATTACAGCTCTAGGTATATCAGGGTAGTGTAATTCTTTTGTCAGAGTCATATGCTGACAATTTTTCTGTTGGTTATTTTGACCGCTATTTTGGTCTATCATTCAATAAGTAAGTAATAAATAATAAATAAGCTTAACAAATAAGTAAGCTAATTGTTAATAATTTTTTAACATTTAAATAGATAGGTGCTTTACAGCACCTATCTATTTAAATGTTAGAAGCTTGCAGCAACATTGCTAAAACATTTGCAATGTTACTGAAATATTACTGGAACGTTGCAAAGTTGCTGCAATATTGCTGGAATGATCCGTGCTATAAGTAATTATAACTCTAACTCTATATTTATATAATTATCTTAAAAACCTTGATTTGGGAAAGAAAAGTAAAAAGAATTACTCAGAAATATTAAAATTCATTATTTTTACCCTCTATCTCATAAAGAATATAAATATAATATAAATTTAAGAAGCTTTCTACAATAAGCTATTATACCTAAGATTTAAATCAAGTCATAAAAAATCATCTAATCACGCAGTCAAATATAAGAAGAATATATCGACTGATTGATTAATTTCTGACAGACCTAAAGCTTAAGACCTAAAGCTTAGGTAATGGCTTACTAGAAAGTCTGTAAATATATAAGTATACTATTAAAAAACAAAACTATAAAAATAAAACTTGTTTGAGGTGTTCGGAGCACCCCACTTACCTACTTAAATATATATATAATTAATATGATATGGTTATTAAGTCAAACATGGTGCACATTGATACATCTAGATTGATACATCTCCTATGCTGAATGACGGCTAAATACCGGCATGCCGCGTAGCGAATAATCTCGAGGAGGATGCATTTCCCGCCAGCGGCGTTTATATTCGTTTCATATGTCGACGGGCGTCATCGTTACGCGTTCCGCACGCAGAATGCACGTAGCGTGGAGAATCACCGCCCGCGCACACCGAACCTTTCTCGCCTCTTCCGACTTCAAAGCACACACAGAAGTTTTCCCACGAGTTTCCCTTTCCCGCGTATCTTTAGCGCGTGCGACACGAAGCTGCGACGTTCGCAGTGAAAGAGGAAAAGTTGCGAGCGAGTTGTACCCGTCATTTGCCTAAACGCGTTTGCTTTCCGCGAGGTAAAAGTCACAAGAGATCGGAAAGCTACGTCTTCTTTCTTTTCTCTCTTTTTTTTTTTTTTTTTTTCATGAATGCGTTAAATTGTTGCGGCTATATTCGCTCCGTATTGATTATGTTCAATTAAAAAAAAAGTAGATTTGCAACTGCTGGAAGATTCTTTAATATGATTGATTTATAAGTTTATATCCAACAAGGAAAAGCAAGAATTAATCTTAGAACGATGTTTATATTAAGAGTACAGTATAATTATTGGTATGTAAATTTTACATCCAACGAAGTAGGACACTCTTAATGTAACAAGATAAATTTTACACTTATAAATTTTCATAAACACAGTTTAATTATTAAGTTACAAGAAAAGAAAAAATAAAGTACACTGTCAAATTCAATCCTGTTAATCCTATTAAAGATATAGCTTAGTACTCAATGATTTCGCTGCGATATTGCTGGAATGATCTATGCTGTACGGGAGGAGTAAAGAATTTTACAGTTGCAAAGCTGCTTTTTCTACTGAACACAGTCACGGCCGCGTTCAGCAGAAAAAGCAGCTTTGTAATTAAAATTCTATAATATCGTGGTCTTGCCTTAATTCCTCACCTAAATTCATAAACCAATCATATTAAAGAATCTTATAATTGCAAAACTGCTTCTTTTTTTACTAAATCAGCAGAAACGTTTATTTTGCAACTGTTAAGAGTATCTTCTTCGCTGAGATAGGATTGTTTCTTTACATTTAAAAATATAATCCAATGAGCACGAAAAAAAAACCAGTTGCAAAATAAATATTTTAGCGAACGCTGTCACTGTATATTTGACAGCGCGATATAAACTGCGATCGTCGAGGTTGCGCATTTTATTGGCGCGCCGGATTCGAAACGAATCCCCGTATATGTTGCGCCGCGCCGGAAAAGCGCGCAATATACGACCGGATATAAAACCACGGTAAAATCTCATTATAACGAATCCCATCTAGAATCGAGTTGATCGTATCGCGATATTCGCGATGTATCAGATGTGTCCGATACCCTGCTGGGTAATGGCCAATTGCGGCCGGCGACGCAGTGCGACGCCTTAAAAAAAATGACGATCTCGTCATAACGGGATTTCACCGTGCGATTATGTAACTTATGCCACACGCGCACCTTCAACAATCGATGAACACAGCACGGCGATGACACAGGCCCAGACGGTGATGGTGAACGTCGTCATCCTGATGCCGCTGCCGCTCGTAGCTCTCGTGCACATCACAGACAAAAGAAAACACTGTCGCGAACCAAATTCCTCCAAGTCGGCGAACTTCAGGTTGTTTCGCAAACCGCGGTGCGGTGATGAAACACAAAAAACTCGCAGAATTGCCGAACGAATCGGAAACGACGAAATTTGATTTTAACGACGCGAACGCGAGTCGCGGGGACGCGCGATGAATGTGAATCGAAAGTCGATCCGAATCTTCGGAGTTGCCGTATATAAGTCGTTCCTCGTTCCTCGTCCGCGGAATGTCGACTAGTACAACGACAGAGGCGTGACCGTGAGAGAGCGACCGGTGAGCTCGACGCGCGAAGACCGTCTGCCGCGCGCTTTACTTTTGGAGCGCTTGCGCTTCGTGAGACATCGGCAGCCAGCCGAGTTCATCCGAGCGTTCGACGATCCCACTCCGCTCCCCTACCGCCACAACCTGCCGTTACACGTTAGTGACGTTACACTGTATCGCGCTACGTCGCGTCGCGCCGCGCCGCACCGTGCCGTGCCGTGCCGTGTGTATTGCGTATCTACTTTCGTTCGTAATCTTACGTTACACATACAAAAACAACTACCCCTAATAACATGACCAACGGACGACGCACGACTGTCTGTCGACTATGCGTTTATTTTGATACGTGCGTCAATCGTTACCCTTGAATCAATAAGACGTATATTTCCACGAACATTATTTTTTCTAGTTCGTTCGCTCCTATTTGCCAAGTTCACGTGCACTGAAAAAAAAAATAACGGTTACGATTAATATAATTTAGTCGTAATTTATGTAGCCATTTTCGGTATCAAATGTACATCAATATGTATAGAATGTCTCAAAACTGATGATAAATATTTTAAAGCAGTTCTTTGTAATATTTTCAGATGAAAAATCTAATACAAAAAATGCCAAAGCTATGATTATTTTCAAATGGGATGAGTTTAAAAATTACAAATAAGGCTAGAATTTCACGCACTCAGTGATGGTAATATCATCAGTATGAAGCTATTTTATTATTGTCAAAGGCACGAAGTTCGAGGAAGCATTTCCACACTGATCATTTTGCTATCTTTGAGCGTCAGTATTTTTTTTTTACATGAAAAGAATAGTTTTGCTGAAATATCCAAAGTTTAGTATAAATCTGAAAACAACTTTGTTGGACTGTTGAAATAATTATACAGAATGTTCGAACTGGAGATTGCTAGAAAACTTTGTAGCATTACTCATTATGCTCGAATTTCCTGCATAATTATATTGATGATCCAACAAAGTTATTTTTAGATCTATATCAATTTAGCAAGCTGACGTTATCTGTCATCATTTTGACATTAAAATGATATATTAAAGATATTTTGATGTAAATAACTTGCTACCCAGGAAATTTTTATTCAGCATAATCATTCTTTCTACATAGAACTATTAATGTAATTATTATTATTAACATTATAGCAGTAATAATTACAAAAATGGAGCTCCTAATCATAATTATTTTACAAATATTAGACACTTTTTTTTAGTACACGATACATTCGCATAAGTATGACTCAGGGTTGGTAAAAAAGCATGTTTTAAACAGTTTAAAACATGCTTAATTGATGTTTTTAATATGTTTTAAATATGTTTTTGTATAGTACTGTTTAAAGCATATTTGAAGCATTAAAAACATATTTAAGAAAAAACACAATACGTTTTATTCTTAAAAAAGACATTATTCTTTACCAACCCTGAAACGTGCATACATACGAAAAATTCAAACGATGCAACAGCAATTTCACACGGCACACTAGAATTATCGCAGTGGTACGACTTGGAGAGCCCATTGTTATCGAGTGCTTTACTTGCTTTTGTAGTTTAATCATCATTTATAGTACTCGCGTACGAAATTTCCGACTCAAATTATCAAACGATGCGAAATAACGTACTTTGAAATACACCATGTTCCAACGGACCTGCGACACTGTGACGCAGTTTCTAATACGGACGACTACGTTTGTTCGGCAATTACGATGAGGTATTGATCATGATGTTAATTAACACTCTCCGGCGATTATCCGTCGTTCGATTTGACACTCCCGACTATTATTTTTACGCTTACTTTGCTCCAAACAGAAAAAATATGGAAAATACGGAAGGAATGAGACTCGTCAGCTCGCGTGTTACTTCGAGGCGCGCACGCGAAGCACTATGAACTTAGTGCAAAGTGACTACCAATCAAAATGAAGATAGCGCCGCGTAATACAGAGGCCGATACTTATAGTCAAGTCTTATATTTGAGACTGTTTTAAGTACAGTTATAAGCCAATCAAAACGCTGTATTAGCATTTTAAGACATCACTTAAGACCATCTCAATAAAAACATGAATACACCGCCCAAAGTGCGATCGAAGATCGATTTATATCCCTTCTTATTTTAAGATTTAACCATCTTAAGTAATGTCTTAATACAGTTCTTAGATATTTATATTATTTATTATCAATTTTTATATTTAAGACGGTTTTAAGTACACTTTTGAAATGTCTGATGTCATAAACTAATTTTAGAACCGTATTGATATTTTAAAACACTTTACTTTAAACTTAAATGGTCTTAATATTTTTAGAGCAACGTATTTTATATAAAAGATATATAAAATATCAACCTTCATTCAAGTACGAAATATTAAAAAGAATAATGAAAATGTAGACGTAGGCTAATATTCATAATCGAATCTTATATTTAAGATGTTTTATGAATCAAGTTTTATGAATCAGAGACTGCAATTAACATCTTATACATTATTTAAAACATTATTACTTAAGACGATCTTAAAATAAGAAACTGATGAATACCATAATGTTAGAATATCAAAAATAATTGCCCCACGCGAATAATTGCTATAATTATGTTTAAAAGAATAAATAATATAGGATTAAACAAGTGCCAAAGATACTACAAAACAAAACACGAAATGTACGATACCCGTTTGTCAAAATCATGTAAAATACGAATAATTGAATAAACTGTGAATATTTTTCATACGCGATAGTTGGATATTCGAAACGGCGCCCGGCAAACAGCGAGGGGGAGCGCAAACAGCGTAGGGAAGCGAGGGGGAGCGCGAACAGCGAAGGGGAGCGCGACTACGTCATCACTTCGGCATTCGCTCGGCGACCTTGGAGGGGGACGACAGTCGTACGAGTCGCTCCAGGTGTGTCGCATTAATTTGCGAAAATTAGATATCTACGAACTTCTGTATGTAAGGTTGTCCAAAACTAAGGTATGTATTAAGGGTTAAAATAAGACTATATATATTTTATTGCTATAAATATTGCTTGATTGATTCTTAATATCTTAAGACTATATATACTTAATTTTGAATGTAAGAACCGACTGCATTCTATTATTTACTATGCTAGAGATTTTCAGTACTCGCAGTGAATAATGGAACACAGCTTATTAAAGTCAAAATCTCATTGCAAATGCTTTGAACTATTTGATTTTTTCTTAATCAATCAGAAGAAAGAATTTTATTAAATGAAACCGATTAAGGAATGGTCCAAAGCATAATAGTATCATGTTAACCATACTCTTATGTCATTTACAATATGCGGAGTAAATTTGATGTAAAAAGAATAAGAAATTGACCAATCACAGTCGAATGTGAAAAGAATAATCGATTGGTTAATTTCTTGCTCTATTTCTTATCAAGTTTACTGTGCATATCGTAGATTATTAGCCCTCGGGCTGAGTATAATAGATGTGTAATATTGTGCAGATTACAGCAATTGGTGTAATTAAGTGCAAATTGGTTTATGTACTTTCAGTGCTAATAAATAATTTAATTCTTTTCAGATTATGAGATTATCGTGACAAAGTAATACGTAATTAAAAGGGTTAAATTATTATTAACACTGAAAATATGTGAATTAATTTGTAAAAAATGTCGTTCTAAAAATAGAATGATACTTTGGTATTTCCTAAAAGGAAAGCAGCCTTAATTAACTCTCTGGCGATTATCCATTGCCCGATTTGATATTCCCGACTATCATTTTCGTGCAGACTCTGCTTTGAATGGGAAAAGCACGGAGAATATACAGAACGAACATTTCTCAACTATGCTATTTCAAGCACAATACTACGAATTAAGCGCAAATAAGCGCAAAATGACAACGCGAATCAAAATGAAAATGATATTTCATGATGAGACATTTAGAGATCCATGGTAGATTTTAAATTATGAATAAACTCGTCCATGCATGTATAGTTTCTAATTTAGTCGCGTTTCGTACTTGATGGATATCTTAAGAAATTGAGAGAC